ACAGGGAGCAGCGGAGTGCCGGCAGTCCAGCTCTGCAGGCAGGATGCTACACGTGAAACTGCCTTTTCTTCAGAGGGAGGTGAAGACCAGAATCTGCACAGTTCTCTAAAGTGGCCAGAGATGGTCACTGAGGTTTGCCCTGAGGCTCTGGGGCCCACCGCATCTGGACCTCTCGCCTTGGCCAGCACCCCACATTGTGAAAGAACTCAATTGGGGAACACAGGGCTCTAAAGGTACAGAGGGAGGTCCAGGCTTAAACACCTGAGGGGGAAAAGGCCAGGAGGAAACCAGGGCCCAAGTAGGGAGGGCTTTGAGAATCCCATGAAATCAGCTATGGGGGCAAGAGAAAAGCCCCAAGCCATACATGGGGTGACTGAGTGCACTTCCTGTCTACAGAAAATGCAACTGAGGTGCCAAAGGGAGAAGACGAAATCTAGGAAAGTCCTGTCAGGGAGAAGCTGAGAAACATAAGCCAAGAGGAGAACTCAGTTCATCGTTAGTAGGTGGGGCTGAGGTGGGGCTTGTGTTAGTCCCCAGGAGACCCTCCGAAGAGAGTCCTTGGAAGGGTCCCCTGAAGGTTGGGAGACAGGGTAGAGTGAGACCTCCCAGAAGGAGGTGGAGCGGTCCTGGCTCCTAGTGACTACTGGCCTGCACAACCCCATGAGAGAGGTCATTAACACCCCACTGCAGCCTGGAAAACCAAACCTGAGGGCTGTGGGGTCACCGAGCAAGGCCACGCCACCTAGTGACTTGTGAAGTCAACTGTGACTTCACACCGCCTGACTCCAAATGCTGCTTCTCTGGGAACCCACTCCAGACACCCTCTATCCTCTCCACCTTCCTCCAGGATCCTTCCCTCTGTCTCATGCTCTCTTTGTCTTGTGGGTTGGGGGGGCCGACTAGGGCCCTGGGGACCATGGACCCGCCACTGGTTAGCTGACACCCAGGCGCTAAGCCCACGCCAAAGGGCAGAGCCCACATGGGCCAGGAGGAGAGGGGACGTGAGAAGGGGGGTGACTTAGCGCAAGGGGGAGGGGCGGAGACGTCAATGTGGGATTTAGGGCGGGGCTGGACCCAGCCCGGGCCGTCGGCTTCAGCACCTCGGA